ATCCTTATACTCAACGAGTGGCAGGTATTAGAACTTAAAACCCCATTTTGCATCCCGCTGGACGACAGTGGCGGGCACTTAAAGCCAAATATACCCGCGCCTGGATAAACAGTTAGATGGAGAACGCCCAAAGCTCTCTCTTCCCCCCCGTCAAGCGTCCTTCCGCCTGCGGCAGGTGTATTTGCGGGCGTTTTCGCTGGTGTTTACAGAACGCAATATGCTCAACATGTTGGTAAACTTTCACAACTGTTAGTGTAAATATTGCATGCAACAAAACGATGCCTTGAAATAACAAAGCGCCTATGCCAATAGAGCCACGAAGGCCGTGCCACACAGTGTGGCTTTAGACTAAAAGCAATATTTGAGAGGATTTAATTATATCAAAAAGTACTTTTTTTTATACAAGAAATATGTATATATTATATTCTATATAAATAAATATATAAATTTTACTAAGAGGTGTTGTTTTTGAATAAGTGATGTACATAACATAGTTTAAGCTATAATTATAGAGAATTACCTATTTTCTAAACTTATGTATGCTGCATTTTTGGTACTTAATCCAATTTTCAAATTTAATTATAACTTTTAAATGTAATTGAGTGCTAAGGCTTTCCACTGTGCATTTGAATGGAAAATGTTATGAAATAAAGAGAGTTTGGAAGAGTACACTTAACAATTTATAAGAGAATTATTGTTTATTGGGGTCTCTGTACTACAGAAGAGGAAATATGCCCAATAAGACAATTCTCATAACACTGTATTCAAAAATTTGATTAATCAGAAAGAAATACTTTTATATGTTATATGTTTATATGTTTTTATACGTCATACACGTTTTCCCTAACACTGACTTAAAATGTAAAAGTAGAAAGTTGTAGTAAATATTTATGCATTTTAGAGTACTTGCCCGAAGTTTGTTTGTTCAGTAATTTAAAGTAAAAACATTATATTATATTAATTAAACCTCATGATCTTTTTTGTTTATAAATTTAAATAGCTTTAAACGTCTTTAATGGTTATTCTGTTTGCATTTCTCACAATTTAAGGATTGCTTTCCAACTTCAAAAGAAAAATTAAAATAATTATTCTATCAAAAACATTACATAATCTTTATTAACCTATTTAAAACTACTTAACTTTCTAAGAAACCTACCGATTAAAAGAAATTGAGACCTTTTTGGAAGTTACTAAAGAAAGACAGTTGTGGATTTGATTTAAAATTGGCAAAGACTTTTTTCTGATTCTATTTCTGCTCTGTCAATTTCTCTTCCTTTATTTTCTTTGGACCCATGAAAAGGCTTCTAAAGTTGAGGGTGGCAAAAGGAAATGGTATTGCACGGAATATTAGTAAACGAAACGAAAGTTGGCAAAAACTGCGTGCACCGGTTGTGTCTGTTCCGAAAGATTGAAAATGCTTTTTAACAGAACGAAATTGCACGGCTTCGTCCGGCACCAGTTTCATCCATGGGTCCCTGTATCATCATCTGCCCCCAATCCTAACCCAGTGACCACCTCGAACGATTCCGGGGCTTGATGCATTTACATTTCCACCTGTGCCAGAGACACACACAAACACACACAGAGGCCCAGCGAGTTGTAAGCTTAAGTGCCATTACATGCAATCGAGTCGAGTTTGAGTTTCTGAGTTCTCCTCGCTCCGAAACCATTTTTGTTTCCTTTTTCTTGTAGCTCACCTCACCTGCTGTGATGTTGTTCAGTGATGCTAATACTTGGTGAAGATAATATCCGAATTATTCGAGAAAGAAGTCTAAGTACCAAACTAAATAATGTCACTACTTTTATCTTATTTTTATATACAAATATTTGCTTGGAAATGTTTAACTTAACACATTTTATTTGTCAGAAAAAAAGTTTTCATTACTTAACATTAATCCTAACCAAATCACCTAGAAAAATTAGTAAAATTACATCAATTTCTATCCCAAAAATGATGCCAGAATATTGGCAACACTATTTACCATGAAAGTTTCCTGTATTTGGTCCATAAGAGCATAATGCATATTTAAGCATATTTTGTAGTCTGCTTTTACTGGCAGTTGGCAAATATGGCACCCCTTGACCCAACACTTCACCCAACCCACCCCCCCCCCTGACTCTTGGCGCAAAGTGCACTTCATCAGACAATTTTGTTGGGCGTTTTGGTCCACCTCTGGTTGTGGACTTTGTCTTTTTTTTCTCTTTGAGGGAGAGGAGAATTTGTGGGGCTTATAAGTGGGTAGATTATATACTGGCTAAGCTGTGACAGCTTCGAGTGATAGCCAGTAACTATAAGTGGCCTTCGTTATCACTCTGCGAGGCATAAATGACGAGGTAAATGTTAATTATTTGAAAAATTTGAATTCTAAAATGCATTAGCGAAGAAATTAAGGTAAAAAAATATAGCGAAGGCTTTAAAAATATATCATGACTTAATCAAAAATGTGGAATGCTTAATAATACAATAACTATAGAGCTCTTCTACAATTTTAATATAAAATATTAATGATAAACTTTCAATATATAAGCTAAAGAAAGTCTTGGGAGAAATTAATGGGAAATTATAGCGACATTGAACACTTTCTGTAAATTTCACATAACATCAATTCCTTCAAAAGGATTGATAATATAGGGTTCCCAAAGATCAAATCTCTTGTTCAAACTCTTTTAAATGTGTTTAAAAGCATTATTAAAATTCATAATATTATATAGCATACTTTTGAGCAACTTTGTTAGTTATTTCTGTAGCACTATGTATATTTATTTCTATAGAATATTTGTGATACATTTTATGAACCTTTCCAGTTGTTTTTCTACCTGCCTCTTAATGAATTGATAGAAATGAATGCCATCATCAAACTCAGGGCTGCATTGGTTGCCAAAAATATATATAGTGTGTGTAGTCTGTAACATGACTGAATAAACACAATTTCCTTCTGTTTTGCCGGTTCGTTCGTTTGTCAACAATTCAATTCATCAAGCGAAAGTTTCACCTGAACAGCGGCAGATACTCCTTCTTCTCGCACAGGGGAATCCTGGGACAGAGAATCGTTTCGTTACTTTCCTTTCTCTATTTTCTTTAACTAAAACACCCTTGAGAGTTTTTCTTTATTTGATCATCTTAGCTGCCACTTGCAGCGCACACAGACAGACAGGCAGCAGGACGAAGGACGAGGTCGACCTCCTGACATCCTTGACTTGCTGCCTCCATAGACTTTTACTTTTGGCTTTGGCAAACATGTGCAGGTTGTGTGGCCATGTGGGTGTGTGCGGGTGTGTATATGGAGGGGCACAAAAAGTTTGCCAACTTATATTGAAAAATGTTGTTAACACGCAAAAGTTTTTGCAACGTTTACTCAGCCCAACAACAGAGGTAACAACAGCAAAAGCAACAACGCCAGGATGGAGCACAACAAAATCAAACTAAACAAGTGGAATTCAATAACTGGACACTGGAAGCAAACAAAATATCCCAAAAGCCGCTCCTCAGCCCATGTTAAAGTGTTTGGAAAGAGGTGCCCCCTCGGAGCAGGAGATGAGCCCAGTTCTGGTGCCTGATTTGAATAGAATTAGAATGTTTTCTTTACCTGAGACGTGTGCAAACGAGAGCAGCTTGTGAAGGACTATGGAGTGGCAGTGGGATCTGAGTAAATATTTACCCGAGGTTAAGAGCCATTTGGAAGTGGCAGCTTTCCCAGGGAGCTGGCCGAAACATTTTCCGAGCGAACGCTAATTCAATTTCGGAGAAAGTTTTTCGGGAAGAACTCTGAGGGTTATTTCTCTTCACTATATTATTCTGTAAGAGTTATGCCATGTTCTTGATTATAAATCTAATTTATTATTATTATTTATTTGGAGTTAGATGATGTTAAGTCTCTTAAGTAATGTTTGCAATAGTTCCATTTTCATATTACTATTATTTACACCTTTTGACAGCTTTTTAAATGGATTTTCTGCACTCTCTCCAAAAATCCTGACTTCAATTTCATAAAATTTCTATACAAACACACACACACAAGGGGTCTCTTCAATCGCAACCAAAAATGAAAAATAATTTCAAAAAGCTGAGTGCCAGGACCGTAAATACTGGTCGGAGGACTCGTTGTTGCCTTCTCTATGTATGTGAAGGAAGCTAATAAGGATTTGCAATTTAATTTGTTTGCTTGCGTGCGTGGCGAAAATAAATTTTTGTCACCCAGCGAAGAAGTCCGCTCAAACATGCTTGGAATTTATGTTTGTATTTTCGGTTTCAAAGGAGAGAAAGAAGCCCCATAAGGTTTATTTTTAGGAGAGTTCAAGGGGGGGATATTTGTGTTTTTTCGCCTCGTGTTCATGGCTTATGGCTTCTTGGCTTGGCGCACAGTTTAATTTTATAATTATTTGCATTTTTGATCACGTACTCCTAACAAGGTTGCCCTTTTAAGTCCGCGAATAGGAGGGATACGTAGCTTGAAATCCTTGTGATAGGGGATCCTTAACGAAGGATATTTTAAGCAGACGAGCACCTATGTTCGTCAAGATGATGTGGCATCATGGAGGTATTAAGACCGGACAGACTAGAAATGACTAAATCAAGGAGACATATACACTTTGTTGTTTTAGAAATGAGTCTTTCTGCCTGTAATCCAAGATATTGAGCTACTCTTAAATAAATGTATAAATATTCGTGTGAAACATTATCAAGACAAGTGAAAACAATGATTTAGATACCTTATACTGGTTTTATAAGTATGTTCAACTATGGAAATATGTTCAAATATGTTAAAAAATGGAAAAAGGACATACAGGACAAACTAAAGTTGCAGTACCAAAAGTAGTTTTTTATTTTCCAAGCACGTACGAGTGTCGTAAACAACAAAACACGACCCATTTATTTGTCCTCTGATATGCATAATAAATTAAAAATTATTTGAAATTTCCCTTTCGTTTCCATTTAGACAAGTGACTTTAAAAAACAAGGCTATGATCAAATGATATCTCAAGGACAACACCCACCCTAGTACTACTAATAAATAATTTAATGTTCCTAAAATTCCCTGTATTCTTAAGCCAAATTCCATTTCAAATTTAAGTACTACTTTTTGTAAAGCCAAAATACTAGTCAAAAAGTACATTTCCTAAGCATCTTTCGATTAGCTTGAGTCCAAAATAAGTTTGCCAAACATTTTTGCCATTAATGTTCTCAGTCGATACACTCCATACTGAAGGGTAGAAGATGCAAGTATCACAAACATGACCACAGTTGAGATTAAAGCAGTTTTTGCCGGTTTAGAGTAGTTCAGGAATGAATATATATAAGTATGTCCCTTCCTAAAATTAAAATCGATATAGTCGCTGTTTTGGCAAAATATAAACAATAGTTCTTACAAGTCTCGACCTCCTGCGACGTAGAAAACGATCGTAAATCCCAAATAGACCAAACAAAAGCCCATTGGATAAATAAAGTGCAGAAGTCGAGAGGGATGGGCAACCACCAAGTTATCAATTGTGAAGAGAATAATCGGCATTGCATGGGTCCAGATGTTATATAGGTCTGAGACATATGTCGGACTGGTTGGCACCCGATCGCTGGGATATATCAAACACCAATATGTAAGGGAAACCACATGTGCGGCGCACAAAGTAATCCAGAAGCAGGCCCAATAGCTCTGCATCACCCAAGTTGGGGGAACTAAAAAGGAACGGATCTTATATATTATATATTAACTTATTTCTAGATTTACCCCATGAACTGTCCTGAAAGTGATATACTGTCTGCAGAATAGCAGCATAAACACTGGTAATGCCACACATATAAAACGACCAATTGGTTAAATAGATGAAACAAGTGCCTTTCTGAAAGTATCGCACCGTATAACTGATGACACCGATTCCAAAAAAAGCACCCAGAAAGCAGCGGTAAGCCAGGAAGAAACTCGATTTAGGTTTTGATTGCCACTAAAAGATTGAATAAGACTTGGTAAAAACAATAGTAATCAGTACAAATTACCAACTTGGGAACGCAGAAAGTTCAAAGGCGAATTGTATCCCAGGCCAAATCGTTTCCAACGGAACTCTTCCCTCAGGCTTAAAGGCACTTGCGAATGGTTAAAGCCCTCCATTCATCTAATTTTTTATTTAAAATTTTTGTAACTAAACATCGAAATGACTCTACACTCCAGGAGTACCCAGTTAATATTACAATATTCCCGTGAAACAGGTGAGTCCAATGTCTGATAGTGGCCACACGTGAATTAGAGAGAAGGCAGATATACATAGATGTGGGCCGGCTGTCGAATCATTTAGGAATGCTCAAAAAGCAATTTAAAATGATTTACGTTCGTGTACGAGCATGGGCAATGGGAAGCGGAAGTCGGTAAGGCGGATAACGATTCTAGTTTGGCAGTTAATTACAATCGTTGTTGAACTCTATCTTTCTCTGCTCTAATAGTGAATTAATAAAGTGCCAGCCAGCGGGTGATTTATAGCCTCAGTTTTGGAAATCGACACAATCAGTTTTGAGTGCAAATATAGTGTTACGTTCCAAGATAGTTTCATACTCCATTTTTGCATGTTGTTTTCTTATACTTTTTTATTTTGTACATTTGTGTGGAATGTTTTTTTCACCCAAGTAAATCACTACAGACACTTGCTAAACAATACTATAGAATTCTCCGTCTTGAAGGGAATGCAACTAAGCAGCGGCGGAAGTGCCTGGAGCGCAATGCACTCCAGCATCTCGGAGGTGTGGCGGGACTTCCCCGTCTGCACTAAACGACGAAGTGTGCGACCATTGTTGAGGGCTGCCATACAATTTGACTCTTCCTTATCCGCACACTTTCAAGTGCCAATACAACAGCCGGCTCCAATGAGAGCTTCAATTTTGTGCCGCTTCCTCCCTCCTTGGGTATCCTTGGGATCCTACTGCTCCTTTTCCTGCGACAATGAGTTGTGCTCGAAGCGAAGCTCAATGACGACGACGCATCGTTGACATCAACGGCGCAATGGATTTATCAAAAGCCCAAGAAAAGAATAAAAACGGAAGCTGGCGAAAGTGGCAGCGACAAAAGAGCAAATCACTTCCGTGTGAAAGGACCAATAAACAGGAGGGGAAAGAGAGAGAGAGAGCGTCAGAGGAAATGGCGACGGAGTGAAATGTGAGTGCGATCGGATTTCCGGTTGAGGGCCACCTAAGTTAAGGGCATATTTATAACCTGAAATTTATTGAAATTGATAACGTCCAGTACAGAAATCTATTTATTTTGTCATGTATTTTATGTTACTTGAAGGAAAGAATTAGGCGTAAGTGTTAAGGATTTTAAAAACAAGGTAATTTATTTACAATTACAATGGGAAATACGGAAAGTCGAAATAATCGCCTAAGAAACATTATGATCAGAGCCTTAATAGATTTTAAATAATACTGTAAAAAATATAATACTGAATTTAAAATATAACAAGAAAGGAAGCTAACTTCGGCACGCCGAAGTTTATATACCCTTGCAGGTAGAACTTCTATGAATAGGAATCCATACAATATAAACTATATATATTTGTGTTAAAAAACAATGAAGTAATACCTGCTTTCATTTCATTGACCTATACATATTATATTTGCAGTTTAACATTCACAGATTTGAATTTTTCCTCTACATCAAACGATCGTTTTTATGGCACCTATAAGATATAGCCGTCCGATTTTCATGAAATTTGACACAAAATTTAAGACTAAAATAAAATGGCTATTCCTCAAATTTGATGAAAATCAGCTGAAAACTGAAAAAGTTATAAATTTAATTGTATTAATTTATCGAGCTATATGATATAGTAGTCCGATTTTCATAAAATTTTATGCAAAATAAAAGAGTATAATAAAATGGCTATATCTCAAATTTTATCCAATTCTACTGAAAACTGAAAAAGTTAAAACATTTTTTGTTTATATGTTCCGACATATATACGAGTGAGAGTATATAGAAGGCTAACTACAAAATTTCATTCAGATAGCTTCAAAACTGAGAGACTAGTTTGCGTAGAAACGTACGGACGGACAGACGGACAGAAGGACAGACGGACAGACGGACATGGCTAGATCGACTCGTCTGTTGATCCTGATCAAGAATATATATACTTTATATAGTCGGAGGTGTCTCCTTCACTGCGTTGCAAACTTCTGACTGAAATTATAATATCCTGCAAGGGTATAAATATTAATGGCTAAATCTTTTAATTCTGTAAAAAAAATTGAAGGTAAACACATTTTTTAAAGACTAAGAAAGTGGATCAAGAACTGAAAAAGCATATTTAATAAGTAAGTATCTATGATCAGTAAGTAAATTTGATCAGTAAGTATCAATGAACCTTAAGTAACTATGCTCAGTAAGTATCTATGATCATTTACTAACTTTGAACACTTATAAGCAATGACTTGTAACCTTTGTAACGCAACGCATTTCTGAGCCTTGGCCGGCTGAAGTCACTTCGTTCCGGGGATGTTAGAACCAGTTGGGAATTATACGCATATATGTGCGAGATTTGTTTCGAAGCAAATTTAAGAGAAACCTATTTGAATTAAACTGTGGAGTTATTCTTCTACAAAAATGTTACTAGTATATAAGTCGGAGCATTTCGAATCAGTGGACTGTATATATATATGCCATAGGAACAATCGGAAAATTATAAGAAAAAAATTATACAGTTTCCAGTTTTCAACAGATTGTCATCGAATTTGATATATAGTCATTAAATATTAACCTAGAATTTTGTTTAAAATTGAATGAATATATAATTTATATTGTATTATTTCCTAGTGATCGAATTTCAATCTGCAAGGGTATACAAACTTCGTGCGTGCTTTCTTGTTTTAGACTTATGCATTTCCAAATTAATTAAATTACTTAGACTGATTAACTTCAAACAAGTTTTAAAAGTATATACCAAACTTTAAAAGAAAAACCGTACTCTTACACTCAAACAATACGATCTCCAAAATAAATATAAACCAATGCATGTGTCTGGGAATGCAAGAGAGTATAAGAACTTGAAAGTTTGGCTCTTTTTTCACCTATTGGATGCTGTCTGGCGAAGGCAGCGATGCAAGAACAACATCACATAAATCTTCATAAGCAAGTTCGGCGAAGGAAGCCACAGCCTGCCCAGGTTTTCTCGGTTATTTTACCTTTACCTGAGCACAGCCATTTGGTTTTAGGCTTCCTCTTCCCGCCCGCAGTGTTGGTGTTAATTTTTTGCACGCCTTCGTCTGTAAATAAAACACGTTGCAAATGGCACGCCCCCAAAAGAAGCTCACCAACACACAATAGGCGCCATAATTCAACATAAAATATTACGCAGAGACCAGCGATTTGGTGGGGAGGAAAGCCAACTGCTCTGCAGTTTTGGCAAGTGGCTGGGAGATGTTCTTTTTAGTTTTTCCCACATCGGGAAAACTTGTCTGAAAGTCGAGGATACGCAAAGTTTTAGCAGCAGCAACCCGATTTTTATTTTAGCCCCCTTCTTGTTAGTTCTGTGAATGTTCAAATATAAAATAGTCATGAAAAATGAAATATCTAATGAGTGATTTTTCTTTCTCAAAACATAGTAGAATTAAAAGTTACAATAACTAATATTTAAAGACCTTAAACTATAGAATATCTTCTATTTATCTGTGATTTGTAGTCTTGAAAGCCTTGACGTTTTTCTAGAAGAAACAATCGAGGCAACAAAAACCGTCAGAAAGGCAATAAACGGAGGCAAAACCCAAAAACTTTTCTTATTTCAGATGAAAAATGCAAAACTTTTTTAATATGCGAAAGTAAAATTTTTATTTAAATCAAGCCAGCTGCAGAAACGTGATGCAACTTTAATGCAAAGGCTTAGATTGATATCCTGCGTTGCTATATATATTATATATGTATTTAGGCCTATTGAAAAAATATATATATTAAACGGTGGAAAATCAGTCAAGAAGGTAACTTCAATCAATTTTCGGGAGCTAGCCTAAAGAGCTGCCAACTCCAACCGGTGTCCAGATTGAAAATTGTATGCAAAAATGTTGCTGCAAAGTGCTTCGGCACTCGAGTTAGGTGCAAAAGCAATTACGCGCTTTGACTTTGTAATTAAAATCGATTTTCATCAAGTTTTACTGCCAACCAAAGCGCTTTTGATTTCCCCTCAATCGCACGCACACGCGGACATCGCCCAGGACCCTGCAAAACACACACACGTATGTATATGTACATGTACTTTCCATGTGCAGTCCTGAAACAATCCATTTTTGTCTGCTGCAACTGCTGTTTTGCGGCAATTTTGATTAGAAATTCGGCACGTTCCCCTTCACTCTTTCTCTGGGCAAATTAATCTGCCATTTGAACGCATCCCGCACTTTGCACACCCTTTTCCCCCACAAAAGGAAGGACCTCACGCCCCATCATCTTCATCGACATCATCATCATCCTTGCCACGGTCCTTCTTTCGCTCGGTGAGCTCGTCCTTTCTCCCCTCCCCCCTCAACTGTTGACGTTTTAAAAGGGACAGCAGTTCCGGCCTTCCGCCATGCACTTAGCACTTGATGAGCTTGCTGGTCTGCTCTCGACAAGGATACTTTCATAAATCTGCTGCGAGGGGAATTAGTGTTGATGGCAAAAATTAAAGGCTTGCTTAAAAAAATATGTAACCAATTAAAAAGATACATTTATAAAAATATGCCGCCTATTATTCGAGTGAGGATATTTTAAAAGAAAATGCAGTGTTATTTAGGATATGACACTGCATTAAAACTATAATTAAATCGAGTTTTTGAAAGAGCCTTTAGACCATCAATTGGATTTAAACTCAGTCTAAGTAAGATAAAAGTATGACACTTAATAAATGAATTATCAATTGATGATTTTTCTTAAAAATTACTACACAGAGTTATTAGAAGAATTCCCCACAATTATGTATGTACATATGTCGAAATCCAAATCGTTTTTGCTTACTTCTTAAGACAGTGTCATAGTCGAATAAGTTTAGTGAAGTAATTTTATTCAATTATAAATTAATTAAATCAAATGAATTCAATACTAAATCCCCAAGGTACTCTAAAGATCAATTATCAGAAACTTAAAACGCAGTGAAGGAGTCATTTTCAACCGTATAAATCAAGTACATATATTCTTGATCAGCAAGTCAATCTCGGGAAGAAAA